AATCATGTCTTTATATAATTCATACCTGCACCACTGTCAATTAAAACAATAGTTTCGACAGTAAATTCAAAATTTATAACTAAGATAATTTTAACATACCAATTCTGATAAGTTATTTTTTCTAATACATTTATGTATTCATTTGGTAATGTTTTATCATGAGATGGTGATGCTATATCTTCTTGTATGTCGCTTTCTCTAAATGACATTTTTTCGAAGGCTAGAAGCCTATCTTTAATGACGTTTATGTCTTCTTTGACCTTAGCAATTTCCTTTTTTAAATCTTGAACTGTAGTAGACAAAAAAATTTTTATTTGGGATAAATTATCAAGCATGTCACTTTCGATTCTATTAATGACTTTTTTTAAAGAATATGGTTGAGACAAATTAGGTTTTTTTTCTTTTTCGTCTGAATTTATTTCGAAAAATTGTTCAATAGCTTTTCTTTTAGAGATTGGATCCTGAATTTTATCTATAAGATCAAGAATAAATTTTTGTGACTTAGTTAAAGTATTTATACTTAATTTTTGCATAGCCTTTTTGAAAAAATAATAATAACATGTAGAAGCAACATGACCAATTTTCTCACACTTATAACATTTAATAGTTCTTGGGTCTTTGTCTTTAAAGACTTTAGTGGACTAGGTAGAGTTGCTTTCGTGATTTCTTTTATGGAAAAGTTGATTAGTTGTCAAAGTGTCCTTATTTGAAATAGTTAAATTTTTTGTCATTAGTAGGAGCATTAATTATTGTGTTGATTGTTGATCTTTTACGGGTTCACTTTTAAAAATATCATTTAATTTTTTCTTGAGTTTATTTATAAACTCAATTTTTTCCATATCTGGAAAACACTTTTTTAATTCATTTAACTGCTTAATATTAGATGGAACAAAATAGGTTAAAAACCAATTAACAAAAGAAATTATCTTTCGTCCCCTTTTTATATAAAGGTGAAACATTTCTTTATAATTATGAAGTTCTTTAGAACTCATGGTTTTAAAATATCAATTTCTAAATTCTTTATATTTAAGGAGATGAAACTCTTCATTACAGGTGTCCTTTATCATTTGGAATTCTCTTAGGTCTAATTCCATAAAAATTATATTTGGAATCCGATTTCGGATGGGGTTAAATCAAAATTTTTATCAAAGTCTTCTTATGGAGAAGATATGTTAACAGGTCGATAGATACCATGTGAAATATTATTTTTTAAAATTTTTATTCCTTCAATTATAGGTTCTTTATCTCTTCTTCGATTTTGGACTGATGAAGTAGATTTTCTTAAAGGTGTAAAAGGGGTTAAATGTGTGTTATAACCAGATGAAGTTTCTGATTTATCAGAAGATTTTATATAATTTTTAGAATTTATCTTAGCAAATTTGATGGTGACATCACCATGGGAGGATNCCTTTTTAATTCATTTAACTGCTTAATATTAGATGGAACAAAATAGGTTAAAAACCAATTAACAAAAGAAATTATCTTTCGTTCCCTTTTTATATAAAGGTGAAACATTTCTTTATAATTATGAAGTTCTTTGGAACTCATGGTTTTAAAATATCAATTTCTAAATTCTTTATATTTAGGGAGATGAAACTCTTCATTACAGGTGTCATTTATCATTTGGAATTCTCTTAGGTCTAATTCCATAAAAATTATATTTGGAATCCGATTTCGGATGGGGTTAAATCAAAATTTTTATCAAAGTCTTCTTATGGAGAAGATATGTTAACAGGTCGATAGATACCATGTGAAATATTATTTTTTAAAATTTTTATTCCTTCAATTATAGATTCTTTATCTCTTCTTCGATTTTGGACTGAGGAAGTAGATTTTCTTAAAGGCGTAAAAGGGGTTAAATGTGTGTTATAACCAGATGAAGTTTCTGATTTATCAGAAGATTTTATATAATTTTTAGAATTTATCTTAGCAAATTTGATGGTGACATCACCATGGGAGGATTGGGCGATCTGAGTTATTTCTTCATTGATCTCTGGTTCTTTAGGAACCACAGACTCCAATTGCCAAGTGTTTGAAAACTGGATAACTGACCATTTAATGATTTTAGAAATTTCAATTGTATTTTTAACCGTATTAGTTTCAATTAAAGTGGTTTAACCTTTAAGGTTCAAAAGCTTAGCTTTAGGACATAAAGTGTTCCTAACTTTATAATATACCCTATAAGCAAACACAATTATATTTGTGCCTTCTTTATAATTATAATCATGAGGTTTTAAATGACATGTTAAAACATCCAAAATATTTTTATCAGACAAAGATACAGACAAATTTGGAAAACAGTTAAAATNTTAAATGACATGTTAAAACATCCAAAATATTTTTATCAGACAAAGATACATACAAATTTGGAAAACAGTTAAAATAAATGAGACCAGTACTTAAGCTGAATTGCATAACACCCATTAAAGACTGATCAAAATTAAGACATCTAGCATCTCGTAATATGCTAACATAAAAGATGCATTTAATCCTTGAAGAGTTAAATGTTTTACAGTAACTTGAACTAATCCAATAAGCAAAAATTTATAATCTTTATCTTGGGCCTTTAAAACTTCTCGTTCAGTTAGCAGTTGTAAAATATCTCCATTCTGATCAAAAGAAACAGTCATTTCAATCGTTTTAATAGTGAAGCTCGATTTAAAATTAAAAGTGTCAATATTATAGATTTTCTTAGTTGAGTACTGGGGTATATCCCAGTTTTGTAATTTATTTTCAATATCAGAGAATTATATTTCTTCCATATTTTTAACATAGTCATCTTTATGATTAAGTTTAAATTTAGATAGGTTTAAAGTCATAGTGATATCTCAAAAGTTTTTTTGTTGACTTATATGGTTCACTATTACCTTCTTCAAGTTACTACTATAATTCGTCTTTTAATTCTGTTACAGTACCGCTATTGTGACAATTACTACCATAATCTTGAAATAATAATTTTCTCAGCCTCTATCGTGAGCTAAACCTGTTTTAGTGAATTTTCCCAAAATCCTATTCTGTCAACGATACCGGGACCAGAAACATGCCAACAAATGCCTAACAATCACACGACTAAAATGGTCTAACATCCCACACGCTACCAGCCATAGAACTCTACTGGGAAAATTTCATGCAAACACGAATTCAACAAACAATAAAAGCTTTCAGAGAAACATCATTATCACAAGATTATTTTCACAATTTCAAAGTAAGAATAGTCCAACAGAATTAAATCACAATTACATAAACAACAAGAATTAGTAATAGATCTGTGATTACTAATTCTTGTTGCTTATATATATATATATATATTGTCACTTAAAAATTTGACGTATAGATGTGGTTTCGTTGGATCAATACTAAATTTCAATATTTAATGTGGCGCACAACGAATCTAAATGCAATAGTAAATTAGGTCCCCAAATTAAGAAATTAGGTCTATAAATAGGGTCTAAATAAGCATCGCTCATTATATTTATTTATCACTTATGTGAAATAGTAATTAGACTTGTGATTTACTAAAGTTTTTGTAAATTAGACATGCTTTTGTAAAATGGTACAAGTTTGTTACATAAGTGGTTTATATATCACTCTTGTAAAATACTAATTAGGCATGTTTTGGTTTTTTTTAACAAAGTTATATATCAAACAACCATTTGGAGTCATTAGTCATTAGACATGCATGCCTTGACTGACTGAAAATATATGAGAATAAAATGTTGAATGAGTGTGACCCAACCCAATCATATGCTGTTTGCAGAATATAAAATTTGTGGTCCTGTTGGAACTCATTAGCATTNTGACATGTTGTGTCTGGTGTTTAAAAGATGGTATCAAATTTGTTGAATGAGTGTGACCCAACCCAATCCTATGCTGTTTGCAGAATATAAAATTTGTGGTCCTGTTGGAACTCATTAGCATTTGTCTCCTTGGTTTTGGCCGCGAGCACTGCATAATTAGAACCAGGGGTGGCTCAAGAATATATGTGGCCTGAAGCGGTAAATGTCAATGAGACTTTTTTATTTTTAATAATATTTTAAATTTAAAATTTAAAATTTATTAATTAATTTTTTTTTCCAAATTATGCTAACATATTTTTTTAATTGATAGCATGACTTTTGATCATATATATTTTGATAACATTTTAATCTATTTTTTCATTAATATTTTTATATTCTTCTTGTTTGTTTTGTACATTCTTCATCAAAATTGTGGTATAAGTGTATTACATCATTGGCTATTATTATAAATACATTAATAACTATCTTTTTGTGTAATTATTTTACTATCTTCTAATTTTTTAGAATCTTTTTACTTGTTTATATTTGCAGTTTTTACCTAGATATTTATTATATTTTATTTGCTACGAGTAACAACTTTATTAAAAGAAACTTTTGAAATTAAATTAGTTTTTATTTTGGATTCTTTATGAGAACTAATAGCTTAGTTGGTATTTTATACTTAAATCACAACAAAATCGAGTTTGAGAGAAGTAGAACAATGAGTTTTGTTTTGCTTTTGTATGAGAGAGAGAGAGAGAGAGATTGATACTTATTATTATTATTTTTTGACAGAAGAAAGTAAAAAAAAATTGATGATGCTTTTTATCCTTTAATAAATGTGATTGTGTGAGATGGTTTGGATTTTGGGGTCCAAATGTCAAAATTTTTTTTGTTGGCTTTCACCAGTTTGGTTATGGCTCATATGGGCCAAAACTCTTGAATCACCTCAGCTATGTGTGCATGTGTTTGTTTGCATCCTGAGTTTATTCCCTTCCTTTTTCCGGAGGAGTCCTCAATGTATTCCTATTCGGCCATTGAAAATTGCAATACTATTTTAATCTTCATAGAAATGCCGGACAATGGGACAAGAAAGGGGCTGGCAGAGTCCTAAGTCCTAACAGACCTACACAAAAATCTTATTGCACTTCTTTGAGTCCTAAGTCCAAACAGACCTACACAAAAATCTTATTGCACTACTCGTTCACGCTCTCCCTCTCCCTCATGGCTTTCATGTTTTTGGGAGCAATCTTTTTGTTCTTCATTTACTTCTCTAATTGTGGTGCTGAGCTTCTAACAGCACTCCCAGGACAACCCACTAACGTTACATTTAAGCAATACTCAGGCTACATCGTGACAAATGCTCAACATGGCCGAGCTTTATTCTACTACTTTGTGGAAGCCGAATCAGGCAATCCNACATCGTGACAAATGCTCAACATGGCCGAGCTATATTCTACTACTTTGTGGAAGCCGAATCAGGCAATCCACCTTGATGCTCCTTGACCTTGTGGCTCAATGGAGGTTTAACCGATAGATTAGCTCGCAATAAACTTTCTTTTCTTTTTCTTTTTTCATGGATTATACAACTGATATACATGCTTATGACCGTTTTCTTGTTTTATTCTTTTCTTGGGGTTTTTAAAATCAAATGGTGGACACTAGGCCCTGGCTGTTCTCCACTTGGTGTTGGTGCATTCATGGAAAATGGCCCATTTCAAGTTGGGGAGAATGGATTGCTAGTCAGGAATTACTATTCTTGGAATTCAGGTGACATTTTTGAATCAAATGATCATTATGGTGTACCTTTTTTTAGTGAGGGAAAAGTTGAACCGAGAAGATAATTTTTCTCTGCATTGATATCTTGGATAGAATCTAATGTGCTATATGTGGAGTCACCTATAGGAGTTGGATTTTCTTACTCAAACACGAGCCCTGACTAAATTTTATGGAATGATACTAGGAGCGGTACGCATGTTCTTTTCAATTGAAAATTTCTGGTTTTGACCCGTGGTTATTTTCTAGATCTTGACATTTTATAGATGACTGCAGCCGAGGACAAATTGGCATTCATCATTAACTGGCTAGAGGAATTTCCCAATTACAAAGATTCTGATTTTTTCTNATTTGGCATTCATCATTAACTGGCTAGAGGAATATCCCAATTACAAAGATTCTGATTTTTTCTTAACAGGAGAAAGCTATGCAGGTTGTTAACAAATGAAAATCCAGAACAAACTCATTCACTAATATTTTTTTCCAATGAAACTAATGTCTAGTGTGGGCATGTTTTGACTTGGTTGCAGGGCACTACATTCCACAACTTGCAGCATTGTTGCTTGAGCATAATCAGAAGCCAAACATTAGATCCATCAAGCTCAAATCAATTGCTGTATGTACCATCCAAAATGTCTAATCTTTTTCTGCTTTTTTCCCAAATTTCTTAGATTTTCTTTCCTCAAAACTTGACTTCAGTTTTTTTCTCCCTTTGTAGCTTGGAAATCCACTTTTAGACCTAGATATAAGTGTACTTGCTGGTAATTATTTGTGGTCACATGGTGCAATATCAGATGACACATTATCTTTGGAGAATAGGGTTTGTAATGACTCAAGGTACTTGAGGGAGTTGGTCCATGATCAATTGTCTCAGTGATGCATTGATGTGTTTAACAGAGTTCAGGCTGAAATGAGTAATGATGTTTACAACAGTGACCTACTTCTTCCCAAATGCTTATTGTCGAGTTCCATTGAGCAATTAAACCTAAAAGGGATGCATGGGAATATACAAGCAGTGGTACAAATAGATATTACATCTGTCTACTTACCCCCCCCCCCCCCCAAAANCTGCTTTTTTCCCAAATTTCTTAGATTTTCTTTCCTCAAAACTTGACTTCAGTTTTTTTCTCCCTTTGTAGCTTGGAAATCCACTTTTAGACCTAGATATAAGTGTACTTGCTGGTAATTATTTGTGGTCACATGGTGCAATATCAGATGACACATTATCTTTGGAGAATAGGGTTTGTAATGACTCAAGGTACTTGAGGGAGTTGGTCCATGATCAATTGTCTCAGTGATGCATTGATGTGTTTAACAGAGTTCAGGCTGAAATGAGTAATGATGTTTACAACAGTGACCTACTTCTTCCCAAATGCTTATTGTCGAGTTCCATTGAGCAATTAAACCTAAAAGGGATGCATGGGAATATACAAGCAGTGGTACAAATAGATATTACATCTGTCTACTTACCCCCCCCCCCTCACAAAACAAAAAAAAAAAAAAACCAGAATTGTTTCTCCTTTGAAACCTTGTGTAACCAGTGGACAGATTGGTATGAGGAAAACCAAAGGAGACCCCTGCCTACCACTCAGAATCCTTACATATCTAAACAAACCTCAAGTTCAGAAGGCTCTGCATGCCAACACAACTAACCTCCCGTACTCTTGGGACTTTTGTGGAGGTTCTCTCTCTCTCTCTCTCATATTAGAGAAGATATTCAATGTGATAGTGACACCACTTTACATTGCCAAGTGATGTCACCGTCTAAATAATAGACTAATAAATGGGTAAGTGAACCCCACATAATAAGGGAACCACTCCATCTATCTAACATAATAACTATCTCGTGTAAAGAAGTGGCGTTTACATGACCTATTTGACATAGGTCGCGATTACATTGGATGTTTTCTCATCCTCTAAATTCATGTTGATATATGAAGACATCATGTGCATGAAGATCAAGGACATGGCTTGGGATGAATGTTGCAGGCGAGTATCAATACGATAACTTCAACATAAACCTCTTACCTCTCCTCTCAGACCTTTTGAAGGAATGTATTCCCATCTCGCTTTACAGGTATTCAACCGTCCACTAATTTCTGCATCACGTTATTGATTTTGTTTGAATTACATTAAACAACTATGTTCTGCTTGACATTCTTTATGAAATTTGTGAGTGGATTTATGTTATGTAGTGGAGACCAAGATTCAAAAATCCCACTCACCCAAACAAGGATTATTGCTAATCATCTTGCGAACGAGTTGAAGCTAAGCACCTTCACGGAATATCGCCCGTGGTATGACAAGAAACAGGTATGCAAGATAACTATCCCATAGTCAAATATTTTGCCCTAGTACTGTTTTTTACACATCATTCCAAGACTGGCTACCATACTATACATGTAAGGGTAGGTATAGAATTGTAGATGTAACATTGTATGAGCCTGAAATTTAGGAAATTACATTACACTGTAATGAAGGAGAAATTTTTCAGCAAATTATAGTGGTGTGCACACCCAACAAAAAGAAATAATGACGAAAAACAAGTCAAAATTAAAGTGAGCTTGTTAGAGTGAGACTAATAAATGCTTTGCATGATCAATAGGGCTTTATAAGGACTTGTTTTGAGTGGAAGGAATGTAAATCTTGCAGGTTGGAGGATGGTCTCAACCATTTGGTGGCATGAGAGAAGGGAAGAATGTAACATTTCTTACATACACCACCGTTAGAGGTGCAGCCCATGAAGTCCCGTTCACATCGCTGTCGCAAGCCCTTACATTGTTCCGGTCATTTCTAAATGGGTCCCAACTACCTAGGCCCCATGACTGATTGATAGGTCCAGAGGTTTCAGACCATAACTTGTGGAATAATGGTTTAATTTCAATAATCATTTGTAGCGATGAATAATTCTTTGGTTGTAAAATGACCAACAAAAGTTGTAAAAATACTCATTAAAGTAGTAAAATTTGGAGCTACAATACTGAAATTTTTTCTTTGGTACTGTAGTCAATTCCAAAAATTTGTGGTCCTGTTTGGAACTCATCAGCATTTGTCTCCTTGTTTTTTGCTAGCTTTTCTGCAACCAATGCATAATTACGACATCAAGCTGAATGAGGTTCACCAGTTTGGTTGTGGCTCAGATGGCCCAAAACTCTTAAATTACATCAGCTATGTGTCTGTGTCTGTGTGGTTGTTTGCATCTTGTGTTTATTCCCTCCCTTTCTCTGGAGGAGTCCTCAATGTATTCCTATTCGACCATTGAAAATTGCAATGACATTTTAATCTTCATAGATATGCCGGGTTTAGGTAAATATCTCGTGCCAGGTTCCCCGACTTGGGGTATATTTCTAGTATGGATGGTAGTTAAGGTGTCAGCTATTTTTCTCCCATTAAACTCGTAAATCAAATTTTTTTTATTTCTCACTTCTGGTTCTTTTCCTCTACTTTATTTGATAGAGGCCGAAAATACCACCCTATCAATAACAAGAAAAAGTCACAATTTAGTTTCAGCGCAGGTACAATAGGACAAGAAAGGGGCCGGCAGAGTCCTCCTACCAGACCTATATGCAAAGATGAAATCAAAGTTTCATGAAACCAAAAATGACAACCTATATTCCGGTATCACCAATGCCACCCTCCTATTAATAACCATAATCATACTTCTCTCTCTCTCTCTCTCTCTCTCTCATGGCTTTCAAGTTTTTGGGAGCAATCTTTTTGTTTTTCATTTGCTTCTCTAATTGTGGTGCTGAGCTTATAACAGCACTCCCAGGACAACCCACTAATGTTTCATTTAAGCAATACTCAGGCTACATCGTGACAAATGCTCAACATGGCCGAGCTTTATTCTACTACTTTGTGGAAGCCGAATCAGGCGATCCGCTTTCACGCCCCTTGACCTTGTGGCTCAATGGAGGTTTAACCGATGGATTAGCTTGCAACAAACTATTTTTTCTTTTTCTTTTTTCATGGATTATACAACTGATATACATGCTCATGACCCTTTTTTTGTTTTATTATTTTCTTGGGGTTTTCAAAATCAAATGGGGACACTAGGCCCTGGCTGTTCTTCAATTGGTTTTGGCGCATTCATGGAAAATGGCCCATTTCAAGTTGGGAAGAATGGACTGCTAGTCAAGAATCACTATTCTTGGAATTCAGGTGACATTTTTGAATCAAATCATTATGGTATACCTTGTTTTAGTGAGGGAAAAGTTTAACCAAGAAGATAATTTTTCTCTGCTCTGCTTTGATATCTTGGATAGAATCTAATGTGCTATATGTGGAGTCACCCATTGGAGTTGGATTTTCTTACTCAAACACGAGCTCTGACTACATTTTATGGAATGATACTAGGAGCGGTACGCATGTTCTTTTCAATTGAAAATTTCTGGTTTCGACCCGTGATTATTTTCTAGATCTTGACATTTTATAGATGACTGCAGCCGAGGACAATTTGGTATTCATCATTAACTGGCTAGAGGAATTTCCCAATTACAAAGATTCTGATTTTTTCTTAACAGGAGAAAGCTATGCAGGTAGTTAACAAATGAAAATCCAGAACTAACTCATTCACTAATATTTTTTTCCAATGAAACTAATGTCTGGTGTGGGCATGTTGGACTTGGTTGCAGGGCACTACATTCCACAACTTGCAGCATTGTTGCTTGAGCATAATCAGAAGCCAAACATTAGACCCATCAAGCTCAAATCAATTGCTGTATTGACCAATCAAAATAGCTGATCTTTTTCTGCTTCTTTCCCAAATTTCTTAGATTTTCTTTCCTCAAAACTTGACTTCAATTTTTTTCTCCCTTTGTAGCTGGGAAATCCACTTTTAGACTTAGATATAAGTGTACTTGCTGGAAATTATTTGTGGTCACACGGTGCAATATCGGATGACACATTATCTTTGGAGAATAGGGTTTGTAATAACTCGAGGTACTGGAGGGAGTTGGTCCATGATCAATTGTCTCAGGGATGCATTGATGTGTTTAACAGAGTTCGAGCTGAAATGAGTCATGAGGTTGACAACGGTGACCTACTTCTGCCTGAATGCTTACCATCGAGCTCCAGTGAGCAATTCAACCTAAAAGGAATGCATGGGAATATACAGGCAGTGGTATAAATAGATGTTACATCTGTCTACTCGCCCCTTTTTCCCCCCATTTATTGATGTTTATTTAAGAATGTTGAATTGTTTCTCCTTTGAAACCTTGTGTGACCATGGACAGATTGGTATGAGGGAAACCAAAGGAGACCCCTGCCTAGCACCCAGGATCTTTGCATATCTAAACAAACCTCAAGTTCAGAAGGCTCTGCACACCAACACGACTAACCTCCCCTACTCTTGGGACTTTTGTGGAGGGTTCTCTCTCTCTCTCTCTCTCACATTAGATAAGATATTCAATGTGATGGTGATACCACATTACATTGACAAGTGATGCCACTGTCTAATAATAGACTAATAAATGGACAAGTGAACCCCTCATAATATGGTAACCATTCCATCTATCTAATATAATAACTATCCCGTGTAAAGAAGTGGGATTTACATGACCCATTTCACAGAGGACGCAATTACATTGAATGGTTCTCATCCTCTAAATGCATGTGGATATATGAAAACATCATGTGCATGTAGATCAAGAACATGACTTGGGATGAATGTTGCAGGCCTCTGCAGTATCAATACGATAACTTAGACATAAACCTCTTACCTCTCCTCTCAGACCTTTTGAAGGAAGGTATTCCCATCTTGCTTTACAGGTATTCAGCTGTCCACTAATTTCTGCATCACATTATTAATTTTATTTGAATTACATTGAACGACTATGTTCTGCTTGACATTGTTCATGAAATTTGTGAATGGATTTTTGTTATGCAGTGGAGACCAAGATTCAAAAATCCCACTCACCCAAACAAGGCTTATTGCTAATCATCTTGCGAAAGAGTTGAAGCTTAGCACCTTCACGGAATATCGCCCATGGTATGACAAGAAACAGGTATGGAAGATAACTATCCCATAGTCAAATATTTTGCCCTAGTACTGTTTCTTACACATCATTCCAAGACTGACCATCCTACTATTCATTGTAAGGGTAGGTATAGAATTGTAGATGTAACATTGTATGAGCCTGAAATTTAAGAAATTACCTTACCCTGTANATCCTACTATTCATTGTAAGGGTAGGTATAGAATTGTAGATGTAACATTGTATGAGCCTGAAATTTAAGAAATTACCTTACCCTGTAATCAAAGAGAAATTTTTCAACGAATTATAGTAGTATGCACACCCAATTAGAGGTTGCCACAAAACCAATTTGTGGGACACACAAGTAAAAAATGTCCCCGTGATACCCGAAAAAGAAAAAATAAAGAAGAATAAGTCAAAATTAAAGTTAACTTGTTTGAATGAGATCTATTCTACTACATTTTTTTTAATTTTATTCAATGGTGGACCGCCTAACATTGTGTCCTTATGAATAAATATCCACACCAATTAATGCTTTGCATGATCAATAGGGCTTTATAAGAACANATTCAATGGTGGACCGCCTAACATTGTGTCCTTATGAATAAATATCCACACCAATTAATGCTTTGCATGATCAATAGGGCTTTATAAGAACACGTTTTGAGTGGAAGGAATGTATATCTTGCAGGTTGCAGGATGGTCTCAATCATTTGGTGGCCTGAGAGAAGGGAAGAACGTAACATTTCTTACATATGCCACCGTTAGGGGTGCGGCCCATGAAGTCCCGTTCACATCGCCTTCGCAAGCCCTTACATTGTTCCGGTCATTTCTAAATGGGTCCCCACTCCCTCGGCCCCATGGCTGATTGATAGGTCCAGAGGTTTAATTGTGAAATAATGGTTTAATTTCAATAATCATTTGTAGTGATGAATAAGTCTTGAGAAGGTAAGGTATTGATTTCTTCCTTATTTGGTGTGTGTTGATTCTTACCATTTTTTGTTGGCCCAGTAGGTGTTTGTTTGGGCCTTGGAAGGTAGGCTGTAACCCCCTAGGTGTAACCATGAAGCTCCTCCTCCTACTATGAAATATCTAGTTTGAATCATAGTTATTAACTTGTCACCACGACACTACCAAAGTCAAGTAGTATTTGTGTTATTCTCGTAAATTGAATTTTACTTGATAATTATATGGGGGTCAAGGACGATCTTAAATAGGTACAGCTATCACAAGAATAAACTATTGTTTTGATAAACAAAAAAACGAATAACCCGTTTAATGTATATTGCATGGAAAAAAATTCATAATTTTATTTTTTATTATTGAGTTAATAATGTATGTGTTGTTTTAAAATTAAATAAATTTTTTTATTAAATAACAAAAAATGACAAGCACACGATATCACTCGATTGTCATTCTTGCTGGAACACATCGAGTAAACTATAAAGCAGAGGCTACTCGAGCTTGGGTTATAACCGACTTTTCCTAGTTTTGAGCCAAGTTTGAACAACTCATTAATTTTATAACATAAATTTCATACATCTTGATATTGTACTTCACGGTTCATGTCGTGTTTGAGTCAAAAATATGGTTAAAATATCAAATTGTCCTCTAAAAAAGTAGAGTAATTCCTTAACTTGCAAGCCTATGGAAAAGCCGTGTCTCTGTCATGGTGGCTTGTACATGATATATAGTAGCAACCTAAATAATTTTCTGACCCCATCAATTATCACCTGTTAATGTTATTGTCTGCAATAAGACCCCTTTTTTCTTTTTTTGGCAATTGTATATAGGCATACATTAATGTGGTTAAGTTTTTTTTTTTTTGGGTCAATTGTAAAGGGCTATTGATTTTGTGAGAAAATATGGAAATTATTGGCACAAGAGGGGGTCAACCACCCTATAGAAACATCCCATCCCTCTTTCAGCCTCATTGGTTAGCTCAATACCTCCTAGTTTGTCGAATCTAAAACCATTGACCTAAATCAGTATAATAACTACAACTCGACCCAATCCCAAAATAAATATATATAATAAGGTGTGTGTGTGTGAGAGAGAGAGAGAGAGAGAGAATCTCTCTTATAGCTGGTATATGTGGACCACCAATTCCCCTTCCCCCTTTCTTGAATATAAGTGTATGAATTAACCTAGGTTTTGCCTATTGAAAAAGTCTTGGAACATGTAAGCCAAAGTAGAAAGGTGTGAAGGGTGAGAGCACTNAATTCCCCTTCCCCCTTTCTTGAATATAAGTGTATGAATTAACCTAGGTTTTGCCTATTGAAAAAGTCTTGGAACATGTAAGCCAAAGTAGAAAGGTGTGAAGGGTGAGAGCACTCTATTTTATCATCCATTGACTATCCTTATTAGAATATTCCGACTAATATATACTTAACTAAAAAACTTATAGTCACGTATAAGACTTTTTTTTTAATCAAGAACAGATCTTAGGTAGGGTCGTTAATGAGTCATGTTGTATTAAGTTCGTATCGTGTTTAAGTTGTATTGTGCTAAAATTTACTCAACTCATACCCCACTCATTTATAATTGTGTATAGATGGGTTCATATTAAGACAAGTTTGTGACATGTATAAATCTGTATAAAATGTGTCTGGTGGATTCATTTAGACCCATTTACTTGATGAGTCTGATGTGGTTTCACCTATTTATCATTAGAATTTGCTAGGGCTGAACCCAAGCATTTCAATTTTGTGTTGATTTTGTGTCGGATTTACGGGTCATGTCTTAAATTGCTAAACCTCATATTCGCACCACTATTTAAGTCTTCTATTGTTACTTCGGGTCATGGGTTCGAGTTCTGTAAACAATATATTCGCATGTTGGGATAAAACTAAATATTTTTTACCCTCCCTTATAAAACTCATAGTGACAGGAATCTTGTTGATTGGACCGCCTTTGTTTACTTTTTATGTACAATCGCTTTTGAATTCAACTCGACTTAGTATCTAGGGTGAAGTTATAACAAGGTAGCAAGCAAATTGAATAGATTTGTCAAATTATTGTNGCATGTTGGGATAAAACTAAATATTTTTTACCCTCCCTTATAAAACTCATAGTGACGGGAATCTTGTTGATTGGACCGCCTTTGTTTACTTTTTATGTACAATCGCTTTTGAATTCAACTCGACTTAGTATCTGGGTGAAGTTATAACAAGGTAGCAAGCAAATTGAATAGATTTGTCAAATTATTGTAGCTGATCAATTGTATAAAGCATAGCATGGAAGTAGAGGAGGGGAGTAAAAGAATCCAGTTATGTGGTGGATTCAATGTGTTTACTTTTATGCTATGACACTCAAACATGATATTGTAATAAGGCAATCATGTCGTCCATTGGAATTGTTAAACGCCCTATAGTTAAATAGTCTTGGATAAGATAAACTTTATATTCAACCCTAACATAAATTATGTCCAGTTACTTAATTATTTAGCTGAATTGAATAGTATGGTTTATCTTAAAGATGCATTCAGATTAAAATGTCAAGGGAGTCACCGGAATCGAAAAAAAAAGTTTTGGTACCACAAGAAATTCAATTTTTTAGATTGACAATAGGCTTGAAATCGAACTGATTTCATTAGATCGATCTCCAAATATAACAAGTTTAATTACTTTTAGCATAACATATAAATCAGTGTGGTTTTAATAGGATCGAAATAGATGGTGTTTCGTTGAATTCGTATTGTGGGTAAGTCATTTCAAAGTTTACTCGACTTATTTATAGCTGTGTAAAGTCTAGTTGGTGTTGTGTCTACATAAAGACTTCTAAGATCCATTTGTAGTTGGGTGTATATTTAAATCTCCTGTCTGACTACTATGGCTACAGCTTTATTCAAAATGATTTGGTTTGTCAGGAGGCCGATTATAAAAGACTTATTGTATAAGGTAAATTCATATTGTAGGTGAGTCGTTTTAAAATTTACTCGACTCATTTATAGTTTTGTATGGTCGAGTTGGTGTTGTGTGTACGTCAAGTCTTCTAAGATCTATTTGTAGTTGTGCGTATATAAAAATTTGGAGTCTGACTGCTATGACTAAAGGTTTATTCAAAATGATTTGGTTTGTCAGGAGGCAGGTTATAAAAAGACTATTGTATAAGGTAAGTTATATATTACTTGGTTTAATAACGTAGTAGTTCTTTAAGAGATGTAACAGATTGTTATCTTCTTAATTTTACTACATATATATTCAAATGGTGGAGATTAGGTGGCCAAATAAAAAAACAATTATCGGAAGTCATTGCACTCAGATCCACAAATACGTCAATGTCACAGAAGAACTCTAGTTTTTTTTTTTTTGTTTGAAAGATTCGGAATGTGAAAAAGTTCATAACACTTTATGTTAAACAACTAAGTCCTTAATTTTAAAACTTTTTTTTGACATTTGTGTCTTCCCTTAGATCATACGATTATTTTTTGGAACCGTTTGAGTTTCAGTTTTTATTTGTACATTAAATTTTTTTTAATTTAATGAAAGATTTGATTTGTTCAATTTATTATGAAATTTTCTTTATCGATGTGAAAATCTTGACAAACTAATTAATATTTTATTTGCATTCTTTGTAAAAGATTTCATCTTATTAGAAGACTAATTTACTTTCCTTTTATGATAAAAACAATATAGTTTCCTTTTTATTTCACAATGGAATTTAGTAAGTTTTGTTATTTAATATTTAGCATCTTGAATTAATGGATGTTAGATCATGATCTAATGGTCCACATCAAAAGTACCTACCTAAGACTATGGTGTGAAGTTTTAAAGATCACGTTGCTATATATATATATATATATATATATATATATATATATATATATAAATTATACTTTGAAGCTTAGTTCTTATTACTCCTACACTGTTTTAATATACTGCATTGATACATTTTAAAAGATTTATAAAATTAAAGTGTAACAATATAGTATATCAAAACAGTATAGGAGTAATAGAAATTAAGGTTTAGGAATTTCACAAATTTAAAGTGTATCAATACAGTGTAGGAGTAATAGAACCTAGACTTCATAGTATTATATATATATATATATATATAAAGGATTTATGAAATTAAAGTGTATAATATAGTGTATCAAAACAATATAGGAGCAATAGAACTAGGGCTTAAGAATTACACAAATTTAAATTGTATTAATACAGTGTATCAAAATAGTATAGCAGTAATAGAAATTATGTTTCATAGTGTGACTTCATAATATTTTATATATATATATATATATACATGACCAAAATAAATCTAAAATTAAAATTCTTTGATTTTAGTACTTTATAAAATAATATAATTAAAACTCCTTAATTTTAGTTGTCAAATTTCAAAAGTTTTCAAAAACTTTGAAACATATCCATAAAAAAATGGAGATGATTTATTATGAATTTTAATTTTCTTATATATATGTGTGTTTTTTGTTGGGGGGGGGGGGCAAGGGGTTTTTTCTAAAATCTTTTTTAGAAAATTTATTTACGATAAAAGGGTATTCAAGTATTTACATAACTTAAGTGAATTTTTTTACAAAATATTTTTTCCTATGTATTTTTTGACAATTAAGTCCAATTTCATGTACTGGCTTCCAAAGGTCCCTTTTTTGGTTCAATTGTTAAGAGTGTTTAAATCAACTTATACTTAGTACTTCGATTAATCCCTAAAGTAGGTCATTTATAACAAAATTAGGATATCCATAATAAATAAATTCCTAGGATCATGGTCCAAAAAAAAAGTAATGTTACACTGACCAAATTTTGAGACTAAATTTGGAGCTCAAATGACATGACAGTTGATTATTTGAAATTTTTATTAGGATTCAAATGAAATGACACTAATAAAAAAAACTCAAGTCAACTGCTATATCATTTAAGCTTTAAATTTGATTCTAAAATTTGTTCGGTCATTACTGACAAAAAAATTGCCCAAATTAAATCTCTGATTTTCTACTCATGCCTACTTGGGATTAGAGTGGTCAATTATGGGTAAGACAGCGGTGTCTCCCCCGTGTCTAAGAAGTGTTTTGACTGAAAAACTTTGGTCTCATCCCATGCATCTACTGAAACTTAGACAATGAAAAACAGTGGCCTCATCCCATGTACTGACCACCCAAGAAAGCCATCGGCTACCGGCAAGCGAGGTCACTTGCTGAGACATTGACTAGTTGTTGCCATGTGAGATTTTCTCAGTACGAAACTTCAAAGATAGTACTCATAAGATATCTATATTACTAAAAGAAAAGAAAAAACACACATAATGGCTGCCGAGTAATGCGGTTTTCTCTCTCTCTCTCCCTCTAAAGTCCAAAGCTCTTCTGTCATATGTGTTGAAGTTGAATTTGTCTTCTTTGTTTTCGCTTTATTCAACTCTTTTGTGTGTGTATAGAATAAAAAACTTACACGACTTCAGTTGGGTAGTTGACATTTTTAAGCGTGTGCGTAATGGGTAAAGATTAGCACTTAGATTTCCTTTTTTTTTTTTACAATGAGTGTAAGAAAATACAATATGGTCTTATATAAGAATGACTACTCTTCATCCCTCTGTCTCACACCCTCAAAGTATCTTTTTCTTTTTTATTTCAATTTCCTTCTGATTCAGTCATACGCGAGATCCTGATCATCTTCCTTCCACCCTTTCTTGCTTACGGGGAAGGAAAGGAAAGTAGGGTTTCCTCTGGGGACGAGAAGCTCTAACATTAATGGCAATATAGAGGTTGTTAGGCAGAGAATCTACAAAGAGATAGAAATGGAGGCCAGGATGAATAGGCCTAGCTCTGGCTGTGCAGTTGAAGAAGAAAATTGTGTTGAATCCATCGGTCACAAAGAAAGATGCAGCCGAGAAGCTTCACTTGTAAATATCTTCCTCTATCATTTTCTATCATCTGTTCTCAAGTTCTAGGTTCCAAGGTTGTTGTTTTATTATATGTTTCGAATAATTAAGGTTTTTTTGAGGAACAATTCTTATCAAAATCTCTGTTACTTTTAATTGAAATTGGTTGTCTTTCTTTTTCTGTATTTAATTTTTTATTTAGACACAAATATATATTTCTCAATTGTTAGACTCTAGGAATGATTAAATTTAATATTAAACAGCAAAAAATAAAAGTAAAAATTCTGCATACTTCTGTTGAGTTAAAACTACAGCTGGGGATTATCGATGATATTCCGAAGTAGAAATTGAAAGGAATACTTGATGAAGATGACAGTTATGTTACAGGGTAATACATACGAAAGAAGGAGGCTTGAGTAAAAAGTATTATTGATACACAATATAAATACGTATATGTGTATATGTATATGTAAACAATAGGAGAAGAAGGGGTTAGGCGTAGTAGGATCTGAATAGTTCAATCTATATATGTCAAACATGTTATATGTAAAAAAGTCAAAAACTATCAAAACAAAAGCAAGTGCTGCTTGATCACAGCCATGGATCTAGGGGGACTTGGTATCACACTGCTGTTGTAGCTAGGGTGAATACCCTTTTGCAATATGTAGCCATCATTGAGATTCTTCTCACTTTAATCTGAATTATTGGTCACAGAATATATGTTTGACCTAAAGTATTCACCGATCCATAATTAATTTTTTGGTACTATATCGAAAAAGAATTTTTATCATTAGATTTTGAGTTTATTTATTCAAGCCATGGATCATAAAAATAATTTGTGAAACAATAAAATTAAATAAATTTACACCCGTTATTTTTTTACTAGATGAAAATAAGATATGAAGTAAAAAATTACATTTTCATTAGCAAAGTCGAACCCATGTATCAATTTTATGGTTGGATTTGGATGATCAAGTTGACTTGAAGGACATATGAGCATCGAGTATATTTATATGAATAATATTATTTAGACTTAATTTATTTTTATATAATGTGATTGACCTATTGTTTCTTTTAAGCAGGATGAACTTGAATCAGCAAAAACTGAAATGGGCGAAGTAAGAGAAGAAAATGCAAGACTAAAGAAGATGTTAGAGCAAGTAGAGAAGGATTACAGATCTCTCCAAAAGCGCTTTATCGACATACTTCAACAAGAAGGCAACAAGAATAGCATCAATCCAAGCACCAACCATGATGATCAGGACATTGAAGAAGTACCTGAACTTGTATCTCTTCGACTCGGACGAAGTCCGAGTGAGGGCAAGAAAGATGATAATACTAGCAGTTCCAGTAAGACTAGAGAAGATGAACAGTCAAAGGGAAGTGACCTTAAACTTGGATTGGAATATAACTTTGAAGGGTCTTCATTAGAACCGGCGGAGCTCACGTCGGAGCGAAGCCCTGAGAATAGCTTTGAAGAATCGAAAGAAGCTGTTACAGGTGAAACATGGCCGCCTAGTAAAGTGTTGAAGAGAATGAGAAGTGGAGAGGACGAACTTAGTAGCCAACAACCAAGTGTGAAGAGAGCTAGGGTTTCTGTCAGAGCTAGATGTGACACACCAACAGTAAGCAAACTAATGACTAATTAATTTAAATTAATATAATTAATTAGAGGGCGACTTTGGCACAACAGTAAGATTGTTTTAGTGTGATATGAAGGTTACAAATTTGAGTTATAAAAATAATTTCTTTACTTGCAGAGGTTAGATTGAGTACGTCTAACTCTCCCTTAATCCCGTAAAAGAGAGACTCTCGTACACTGGATATGCTATTAAATGCATTCCATTGGTGAATTTTGTGATCTGATCATTGTTTATCATGCAGATGAACGATGGATGCCAGTGGAGAAAATATGGACAGAAAATCTCGAAGGGAAATCCATGCCCACGAGCATATTATCGCTGCACAGTTGCACCAACATGCCCAGTTAGAAAACAGGTATCGTGATATGTCCCATATATATATAGTAGCAAAAATCATGTATCTAAACAATGCAATATCAAAAAATAAACAATATCGTGTAATATTTATATTTGAAATTACCATTTATTTTTCTCTTCTTTAGTTATGTAATTTTAAAATTAAAGTGAACCAAAACAAAAAAAAAACAGACCGGGAAGGAGAGAGAAGAGAGAAATATGTGTGGATTAGTGGGATTATATGACATTAGGGAATGTGTTGCATGGTTGGGTTGTTTGATATTAAATGTCACATAGAAAAGATTTTAGGATGAAATTTGTACTATTACATCAATCGTAACCTTTATTATACTTTGAAGGATATTCAACTCCATCATGTAATAATAGAAAGATAGATAATAGAGTAAACTTGTTGAGAATTTTTTTTCTTGAACATCAGTTTATGTACACTTTGACTAATTTTTTTTTTAGTCTAGTCAAAAGTAAGTCATCTATACTGAAATTAAAATATTCTCTAATTTAAAAAAGTGACTAAAATTAAAACTCAGAAAATATGAATCGCAAGTTCTTATTATTCGTGATTCAACTTCATCTTGTGTTTATCAAGTTTTATTCATATACATCTGTCAGCTTTTGATCCACATATATGTTCAAACTTCAAACTTTTTTTTTTCCGGAAGTTGAATATCTTCAAAATTAAAGGATATAATCTCATGGTTTATCTTAATTTACTCTCTATTTTCAGGTGCAACGTTGTGTGGAGGACATGTCAATCCTGATCTCAACCTATGAAGGCAATCATAATCACCCACTTCCAATCTCAGCAACAGCCATGGCTTCCACTACATCTGCAGCAGCTTCCATGCTTCTCTCTGGATCATCTTCAACCTCTCAACCAGGACTTGGATCCTCAGCCGCCACCGCCACCACCCCATCTCCTAACCTCCACGGCCTAAATGTCAATCTCTATGACAATTCAAGACCAAGACCATTCTACTTACCGAGCTCTCCCTCATCCTCTCTTCCCACCATCACTTTAGACCTCACCACCAGTAATTCTCCATTCACTCATTTCAACATGTTCTCTTCATCTTTCCCACCAACCAAAACATTTCATGCTACAGCCTCAGAATCCCAAATGCTACCAACTGTTTGGGGCACTGGCAATGGATACATTAGCTATGGCTCAGGCTCACCACCCTCAAGACCCTCCCAAGGACAGTTCTATCAACCGTACGTGAAATTGAACAACCAAGCTTCTTCTCAGCAGTATTTAACAGAGACATTAACGAAGGCAATCACGTCGGACCCGAGTTTCCGAACGGTGATAGCAGCAGCAATCTCATCAATCGTTGGTGGTGAGAGTGAGATTGAGACCCAAGGGAAGCAGCATGGAGGAGAGAGGTTTGACCAGAACTTGAAGTGGCCGGCGGGTGAGCCCAACAAGGCCATTTCTTCAAATCCAAGTTATTTGACCCGAACATCGTCGTCCTCTTCTAACTCACAAATTGGAAGCTTGATGCTTCTCCAACAACAAACTCCATCTCCATTTTCTGTTTTGAAGAGTAATGGTACAACAACTACTGCAGATCAGAAGAAGGAACAATCCAGCTGATGGGTTTTTGATCGAGTACTTGACCCTGTGACTTATGTGGAATTTTAATTGGCCAAAATGATTTTTCATGGAACTGAAATGTATAATGTTTCTTTTTTCTTTCGTTTTTTTTTTCCCTCATGTAAATTGTGCAATATTTAAGCCATGAAACCATGACCATGGAACTGGTTGAGTATCAGACACTGTCTTCCGCTAAATGCCTTTGTAATTTGTAAACCTTATATATATGATGGCCGACATAATTTATTAGTCAAATTCATCATATTTATTTGTTGTGATCGTGCAGCAATTATAGTGAATAGTAAGGAATCAAACAATTAAGAAAGCAGGAGAAAATAACACACAGAGATTTACGTGGTTCGGCAATGTGCCTACATCCACGAGAGCGAGCGGCTGTTCTTTTCCTTATTGAAATAGGGTTACATCTTAAGTATTTATATAACCCTAATATGGACGTATTTACAAAAATACCCCTATACCGTACCGCGGGGGTACAGCTTAAGCTCCACTCCGCTACGCTCCGCCCGCTCCGGCATCTGCCTCCTTGCCATTATGCACATAGCAAAATATGAGCCACACATACTCTAACAATTAGATTGATATTAGATATCACTCAAGAATACCGTAATTTACTCAACCCCCAACGACTCACGATTTGAGTACATCGATCCCAAACAGAATAAGTTTGCGATCTTAATCACTAAAATAAACGATCTCAAATTATTAAATCAACGATGTATAGTTTTACCACCTTTTATCCATAAATTTTCCTCTTAGAGGGACATTTCTACCATTTAGAGAAATTATAAATGCAAAATGAGAATTTCAATCAGGAAAAAGACAAACTAAAATTTTTGTAAATTGAAAAGTACCATAAGCCCAAAGGGCAAAAAACATGTTTTTGTTAAGGAAATTTGGTTGTGGGTATTCTTTTTAAAACATATTTGACTTTAAATACACAACTTGAATTTTTAAGTCATTAAGTTCTATTGTCCTTAAATATTTGTTCATTAAGTACACATTAACGTTTTCTTTTTTCTTTTTTTATTTTTTTGATGCTTAATTATCCTTATATTATTTCATGCACAACAGATTTACAATTTTTTTTTTTTGGAGTGGGAGGGGGAGGAGTTTTGAACCTTTAACCTCAAGAAGACAAAATTTTCACAAAATAAAAAGTATTATTGGACCAAAGGCCCATTGGTACAATTTTTTTTTGGAAAATTTGGAGGTCGGTCCTCCTATATGGATTTGTTTGAACTTAAGTCCGTTAAAGAAACTTATTTGTTATGAAGTCCGTTTTTTGTTAATTTTACCATACCTATCCATTTATTTTAGAAGTGAAATAAAAATAAAAATTAAAAACTCCTAAATCTTAGGAGTTTGACTAACATTAAAATCTTTTCTCTTTCATATCTATTTATATCCATATATAGGTTAATAGTTTGATTAACATTAAAATTTTTCCTCTCTTATATATATAGTAACATTAAAAATAAAACATAGTAACATTCAAATACGAAAAAAAGTTATCATTTGGACACAAAAAATAATACATTTAAATACAAAAAAATAATAACATTTAAACATAAAAAAAATTGAAACATTCAATATTAATAATTTAAAAAAATAACAACAGTAGCATGTTCAACAAAAATAGTAACATGCTTAACAAAAACTGTAACATACTTAATAATAATTATTTATCTCAAATTCAAACGCAAAAAATAGTACCATTCAAATACAAAAAATAGTAATATTCAAAAAAAAATAGTAACATTGAATATTAATATTTAGGAAAATAATAGTAATAACATGTTCAACAAAAACAGTCACATTCTTAAAATAATAGTAAATGAACAATAATATACTCAGCAAAAGTAGTAATATGAACAATAACATAATAAAAATAAATAATAACATGAATTTGAATTTTACTATTCAAATTCATAGTAATTTGCTTTTTATTTGAATGTTATTACTTTTTATTTTTAATGTTATTATATATATATAGATAAGAGAGAGAAAAATTTTTAATGTTAGTGAAACTCTTAACTTATATATGGATATAGATAGATATAAAAGAAAAAATATTAACTTTCTTTTAAAAAAGGTTATTTTTGAGATTAAAAAAACATGGACTTAAGTTATTACATATAATTTTAAACATGGATTTAACCCCTTATAGTTTTAATTGAATCAAATTGAATTTATGTTATAGTCGTTTTTTTAAAAAAAAGGTTGTAATTGGAGCATATTATCTTCAACTTCCACACACCGAATCTTTTGTTATCAAGTTTGAAGTGTTCCTTTAACCAAGTATCTTATTTTTCTGTTGCTGAATTTTGAATTGGAGAATTCGAAATTATTATTGTTCTTGAATGATTTTGGTTGTGTGGACATTAGATCAGTCATTTTTTTTTTTCTCAATATATTACCAGTCATTATTTCTTCATAATATCTTGGATATGATTTTTGGACTTCAAAAAAATAATTTCTAATTTTTTTATATGTCATTGTTTGTTGTCACAGTTTCGATTTAAAAATTCATATATTCATGTGAATTTTATCAAAATAGATATATTTTATTATTTCTAAAAATAGGATTGAATTTTTTGAACCAAAAGTTTCATTCTATTAATGTTCACTATTTTTTGGAATTCACTGTTTATGTTATTTTTTTTCAATATTATTTGAGTTCGTTATTTTTGATATATATATATATATATATTTCTCAATTCAAATTTTTAATATTTTTGTGTGATTTTTAAAAAGTGAACTAAGAATTTTATTCTATTAAAATTCACTGTATGTAAATTTTTTTTGAAATTGGAGTTTTATTTTATAAAAATTCGCTATTTATCAAATCATTGTTTTTGAGTGTGCATGTGGAAGGACGAAAGATAAAAGAAATAAAAAAAATTAAGTACGATGGTAATGGTGGGTGGGTGGGTGATGGAGGTGGTGAAAACATTTTTGATAATTAATTTATTTTTTGTCTTGTATTTTAGCTTTTTATTAATTCCTTCCTAACACAATATCAACATTCACGAGTAATTTAAAACCCAAAAAAAAAAAAGGTATTGAGAATATAACTACTTAAGATATAATTATAACTGCTTAAGGTAATATATCATCATTCATGATTAATATGCCTAATTAGTTATAAATTTATTTTTAAAAATTATAAATTTATTTTTAGCTTGTAATTTTCATAGTCAATTGTAATATTTAAGGATCGATATATTTGTTACAGTTATAACTTAATTTTCATAGTCATGTCACGTTTAACAAGATACATAAAAATAATATTATTTTTTTTTCAAAATCCCAATATTAATATACGTCAACAACTTAATTAATACAATATTATCTCTACTGCCCAAAAATTGATCTATGTATTTTTTTTCTTTTTATCAACAATCTAAATAATTTAGTAAAAAGTTACTAAGGCACAAAACACAAACAAAAAAGACAAAAAGAAAAAGAATTGAGAATTTTTTTTTTTTTTACTATCCTAATTACTTGGTAACTAGAACGAAAGAATCACAAAAAAATGAATCTATTGAATATTTCTAGCTATGAAAAAAACGCAAATCATTTAAGGATTATAAATATGAGATAATATTTAATTTAATTATATAATTAATTTTTTTATATATTTTATCAAATATTTTAACGAAAAATTTCACATATAACGTATATTAGTGCAATGCTAATTTAGCATAAAAGTGACACTACATTATTATCGCCGCATGATGTATTTATTCAATAAAATGAACAAAGTAATACAATAATTATCTCATGTTAAGAACTGAAATTAACTTTTATTTATTTAATTTGATTTTTTCCACGTAGACGTGAGCTGGACCCAAACTAAATGTTCCGCCAGTCCACACACAGGATATGCTTCACCGGCTCGCTTATATATTACGCAAACTCCATTTCTTAGTCAGGGGCAGAGTGTTTTGTATTGTACTGTATGACAGCCGACGCACAGAGGCGGTGAGTTTCTGAACGCAGAAACCACAGACGGCTGCTCATCCACAACAAATCCAATTCCGTCAAACGCCCTTCTAATTCTTACCCCTTCTCTTACAGGTAATTTCTCTCTCTCTCTCTCTCTCTCTATATATATATATGTGTTTTTGTATGTATGTTATGGATCTAGGGTTTTTTTTTTGTTTGCGATTAAGGCAGTTACTGTTCTTGGGATATGGAAGTTTATTTTTGATTTGATATATATTGATCGAGCTATGACGGGAGAGAAGTAATGAATTGGATTTGTTTTGTGATTTGGCTGCGACAAGGGGGTTGAGCATGTCGACTCCGGCGAGGAAGAGATTGATGAGGGATTTCAAGAGGTTACAACAGGATCCTCCTGCTGGGATTAGTGGGGCGCCTTTTGATAATAATATTATGCTTTGGAATGCTGTTATCTTTGGGTATGTCACTGACCTTTCGATATATATTTGATAGTAATTGCTGTTTCTTGTTGGTTCCTCTGACTTTATATTTGTCTTCCTTGCAGTCCCGATGATACTCCTTGGGACGGAGGTGAGACTATTCTCGAATTGCAGTTTATTATTCAAAGAGAATGCTGATTGATGCAATTCATTGGAGTTTTTTTTTAATATGTTGATTATGTGCCTAACCAACACAAGAAGAATAAGGATGTGAAACCCTATTGCAATATTAATGAACGACCTGTACTCTTGGGAATATATATTTTTCCGCCTGTTATGATTTGTTCTCTTTCCTTTTTTTTTTTTTNATTTTTAAAAATTATAAATTTATTTTTAGCTTGTAATTTTCATAGTCAATTGTAATATTTAAGGATCGATATATTTGTTACAGTTATAACTTAATTTTCATAGTCATGTCACGTTTAACAAGATACATAAAAATAATATTATTTTTTTTTCAAAATCCCAATATTAATATACGTCAACAACTTAATTAATACAATATTATCTCTACTGCCCAAAAATTGATCTATGTATTTTTTTTCTTTTTATCAACAATCTAAATAATTTAGTAAAAAGTTACTAAGGCACAAAACACAAACAAAAAAGACAAAAAGAAAAAGAATTGAGAATTTTTTTTTTTTTTACTATCCTAATTACTTGGTAACTAGAACGAAAGAATCACAAAAAAATGAATCTATTGAATATTTCTAGCTATGAAAAAAACGCAAATCATTTAAGGATTATAAATATGAGATAATATTTAATTTAATTATATAATTAATTTTTTTATATATTTTATCAAATATTTTAACGAAAAATTTCACATATAACGTATATTAGTGCAATGCTAATTTAGCATAAAAGTGACACTACATTATTATCGCCGCATGATGTATTTATTCAATAAAATGAACAAAGTAATACAATAATTATCTCATGTTAAGAACTGAAATTAACTTTTATTTATTTAATTTGATTTTTTCCACGTAGACGTGAGCTGGACCCAAACTAAATGTTCCGCCAGTCCACACACAGGATATGCTTCACCGGCTCGCTTATATATTACGCAAACTCCATTTCTTAGTCAGGGGCAGAGTGTTTTGTATTGTACTGTATGACAGCCGACGCACAGAGGCGGTGAGTTTCTGAACGCAGAAACCACAGACGGCTGCTCATCCACAACAAATCCAATTCCGTCAAACGCCCTTCTAATTCTTACCCCTTCTCTTACAGGTAATTTCTCTCTCTCTCTCTCTCTCTCTATATATATATATGTGTTTTTGTATGTATGTTATGGATCTAGGGTTTTTTTTTTGTTTGCGATTAAGGCAGTTACTGTTCTTGGGATATGGAAGTTTATTTTTGATTTGATATATATTGATCGAGCTATGACGGGAGAGAAGTAATGAATTGGATTTGTTTTGTGATTTGGCTGCGACAAGGGGGTTGAGCATGTCGACTCCGGCGAGGAAGAGATTGATGAGGGATTTCAAGAGGTTACAACAGGATCCTCCTGCTGGGATTAGTGGGGCGCCTTTTGATAATAATATTATGCTTTGGAATGCTGTTATCTTTGGGTATGTCACTGACCTTTCGATATATATTTGATAGTAATTGCTGTTTCTTGTTGGTTCCTCTGACTTTATATTTGTCTTCCTTGCAGTCCCGATGATACTCCTTGGGACGGAGGTGAGACTATTCTCGAATTGCAGTTTATTATTCAAAGAGAATGCTGATTGATGCAATTCATTGGAGTTTTTTTTTAATATGTTGATTATGTGCCTAACCAACACAAGAAGAATAAGGATGTGAAACCCTATTGCAATATTAATGAACGACCTGTACTCTTGGGAATATATATTTTTCCGCCTGTTATGATTTGTTCTCTTTCCTTTTTTTTTTTTTTGCGGTTATATCACTCCTTATCCCAAATTGCTCTCTATAAAGCTTGAACAACCTGTGCGACCTTTCTATATAGAGGGGACTTCTTCCACCATTGTTACAACTCAGGACCAGGATACTGGAAAATTCATTGGCACATGCACTAATAATGCTTTTTGTGAGTGTTCAGTTGCACCAATAGCAATGTGTCTTCCTTTTCTTAATGTTTGTCTCAAGTATATGTGGGCAATCAGTACTTAGTTGTGGCATGTGGTACACTAATATGTGTTTCCAATGGGAAACTTGCAGAAGTAGTTCAGGCATGACCCAACATGGACTTTTTTCTATTCTTTGTCTGCCTTTCAAATACCCCTCCCCTCCCCCTGGTCCTCATCTGCATTTAACAGAATGCTAATATATATTGTTTGCTTCCAGGTACTTTCAAGTTGACACTTCAGTTTATAGAGGAATACCCAAATAAGCCACCAACAGTGAGATTTATCTCCCGAATGTTTCATCCAAACAGTAAGTTGGAGTTAAAACTACAGGTTGCAATTTTTGTTATAATTTGTAATCATTCGGAAGATTCATGTTTATGATCAACTACAACTGCACCGGCTAAGTAGTTGTATAGAATGCAGTAGGGCTTGTATGCTTTGAGGTCTTTGTTGGGACAAGACAAAAGGAAAATGGTTAAGGATCCAATTTTGAGGCTCTTTACTGAAAGTGTGTGGTTTGGACTTTGGACTAAAGTTCAGGTCATTTATTGAGCCTCTCTTTATTCTTGAGGTAGACACGCCACATACATGAACTAATCCTTTTATGTGTGTTTACATTTATTATCTAATGACTAGCTAATGCCCCCTGCCTGAAGGCACTTCTTTATGCCCTGTGTATTGCACAAGTCGTTGGTGAGGACCTACATAATTGAAACATTATGATGACTAAAACACATGAAATAAAGCGAAATAGCACATTTTGAGCTTTGTACAACCTTGTTCCCCCATCAAAAATAGAATCTGGAAACTCTAGTTTCCACTATTTTCTTAAATTGGCGCCTGATAATAGTTATTAATTTCCCAAAAAAACCAACCAACCAAAAACAAACAACATTTGCAACAATCAACCACCCAGCTATTATGATACCTCTAAGACTTCTTTCATGTCATCTAGATTTTAGCAGAAATAATGTAGTCTAAATAAAAGTTGAAATTGAGTTGACATGATAGATAGCAACATAAGGGAGGGGTGGGAATTGATCCTGATTAATATTTAGCGAGTCTTATAGTTCTAAATGAACCTCCGGTCTTATTAGCCTTCACATCAAAATTACTAGCAAAGAGTCACTTGGAAAAAGAAAAGAGTCACCTCTGCCAAAATTTTCCTGTAAAAGCGCAACAATGGAAATAATTCAGAGTATCTAATGTTGATACAACTAAAGTAAATGTAGTAATTTAGAACTACATGTAACTTGGTGTGATATAGCTAAGCAAAAAGACAAATATAGAGAAACAAAGATCACATTGAGCAAATCCTTCAAGCAAGAATTGAACCAAACTAAACCAAACATTCCGCGACCTTCAAGACTACATTGTACCTAAACAACATACACATGACAATCCTTTAAAGGCAAAGGAAGTATTGAACATCACTTGTAATAGCTGAACTTTACCGGTCAACTATTTCATTAAAACAGGACACCAGAATTAATCGCAAACCACAAAAATGCCCATTCAAAATAGCGTAAACAGTACTTTTTGGATTATTTCAATAGAATGTGCAACCAAGTCCAACAGGTTTTCCCCAAAACCATTTTTCTTTCAAGGGAAAAAAAACACTACCCAATGCTTGCAAGAAAACCAAATTTACAAAAAAATACCTTTCAATGCTAAATTTTGACTGCCATGCTCTAGCGGCTCATCGATTTTTCCCAAGTACACAGTCATAACAATGCATGAATAGTCGTCCTCTGAACCCCAAACCTTAATTTGGTACAAATCTATAGAGGGAATCCCGGGATTAAACACACGGGCTGGTTATTGCATGAAGAGAATGACCCTAGGCACTCATAAAATGGATAGTGTGTATAAATGTGTGCGTGTGAGTGTGTGTTGTGCGCAAAGGAGAGAGTGTTTGGGGTGATTTGCTTGAGATTTAGGTGTGGGACGTGCAAAAGTCAGAGATAGAGAGAGACAATGAGATGTAGGCGAGAGAAAGGGGGAAGGAGCGGAAACAGTGAGGGAGAGGTACCTACTGCGGTCCCATGACATCGCTGATGGGTGCGAGTGAGAGAGAGTATTGCTGGCTTTGATTTGCTTGAGAGACCCACGATTAGGACAGAGGGGGTGTGTGTATGTGTGTGCGTTTGTGGCTGGATGGCTGCTGGGCATCGTTCACTGGTAGCGTGGTGGCTGGTGGCGTGGACTGGTGGATGCTATGCGTCGATGGTGGGGGGAGAGGATGTGCTCTCTGGTGGGGGTGGGATAGAGAGGATGATGAGGCTAGGGAGAGAGAAAAAGAAGGGGGGGGGACTTGAAATTAGGGCAGATATGGGAGGTAGAGGGAGAGAGAGACATGAGGGTACAAAGAGAAAGATGTGAGGCGTGATTTGACATTAAGGCTGATTGGGAGGATGTTTAAAAATTTAAACTTTTTAGGCGGTATAAATTTTCTGAGTTTTAATTTGATCTGTCGAATCAAAAATTTTGGAATAATCTCATTCGTCAATAGCTTGAGATAACCTAGTTCGTTGGATGGGGCCTTCTTTTATCGAAACACGACCTGAGCCGCTTTTTGTATCTGATTCAAAAACAGGTCTACTTTATTATATAGATTGTTGTCAGCTGGACTTGCTGAACTACAGTGGCCCTTTTTCCTCACATTGTCCTTTCTTTGTATCACTTCAACTTGTCATATCTTTTCTTGTTGATGTGAAGCGTCATATGGAGAGAGATATTGTCTAGTACTAGTTCCTCATGTTCATGTATTGTTGTTGACCAGTTTATGCAGATGGAAGTATTTGCTTGGATATTTTGCAAAATCAGTGGAGTCCAATATATGATGTAGCTGCCATACTTACATCTATCCAGGTATAGTAGGTTGATCTATCTATGTTGTATTTTCTTGTTATTCATTTATCTGAAGTGTGTCTACAGAATTTGTTTTAGGCCAGATGTCCTACTTTGCATGGGGTATACTTTACTCACATGCAAAAACTATGAAGTAAACAGCAATTTTTTTACATACTAACACTTGTTTTAGAACATGTGGACATCACGAGGGCAATAGAAATTAAGTTTAACAATTCTCTTGCTGCACAAATAGTATTTTAGATACAACTCAAATCTACTCAACAAAACCCTTTTTCAACTATGTATACTATATATATGTGCCAAAGTAGGATAGGGTATACTTTACTCATATGCAAAAACTATAAACTAAACTAATTTTTTTTACTTTATTTTATAGACCATGTGGACATCACGAGGGCAATAGAAATTAATTATATAGTTTTCACAACTCAAATCAACTCAATGAATTTTTTTTCCTAACTATGTATATTATATACATGTGTCTATAAAAATATATATTTGTATTCCGGTCAAATCTATCTCCAACTTCTTGTACAAAAGCCTCAATTCACATGCAAAACACCCCCAAAAAATTCACGACACCCACAGAAAATCAAGGAGGTATTCGGCTAAATCATGTTGATATGTGCAGAACACATCCCCTTATTCGGTGTGAAATTTTGGGGTATGAGTGTTGATGGTTGACTCCACCTTAGGACCTCCTGTTCATGATGATTTACTATCATACCTTTGATTGACTGAGTCGTGTTAAAGCCATTTGCTTGGATGGCCCTTACCCCTGAAGCTTGATAAATAACAATTAAGGAGTAGAGTTGCATACCCTCCTCCTCTTCCCCTTTTCCTTTTCTTTCTCTCTCCTTTCTCTGATTCTCCATCCCTCGGTTTCTTTAGTAAGTGGATGGGCAGATTATTGAAATAGATGAGCAGCTCTAAGCTCACAGTCTACAAAAAGATGACATTTTAGTAATAGAATATGCTTTTCGTTTTATTAATTGCTAAGGTGGTGGGCCTTTATTGTTTTGTGTCTTCCATAGATAAATTTTAAGCTGAAGTATGTTTTTTGAAAAGGAGACAGTTGTGTGTTTTCCATGAGGGATTACACTGGACACCTTATATCTTTGATGATATGATTCATATGAATGATCTTGGGTTGGGGTTGTAATAAAAGAAAAGTGTGTTATTTTGGAGAGGAGAGAACCATGGTTTTTATATGAAAGAGTTGTATGGCATAGTGGAATTACTGTTTGCAATATATCTTCTGGAAGATACTATTAAAAAAATCAGATTGGCGAGTTTTCTTGAGACAAAATTATAGGGGTAACCACTCTGGCTAAATGAAGGCTGGAGGGGTAGGTCTTTACTAAGCTTACCATTTCCAGCACCCTTGATTAGTAGAGTCCAACACCAGGTTTTGGCTTTTTATTTGTGGGGAGAGGAGTTTGGTTCCTTTTGAATCTACCATGTTTATGCTCATTTGCTTGAAAGACGTTGCATTTCACTTAATATTTAGCAACCTTGTTAGATGGTTCTTAAAGCTTAGAAATTTAAATTAGAAATATTAGTTTGTCATTTTGCCATGTAACAAGAATAGTAAATATGGCTCGGCTAATCCTACAGTATGCATTTAATTTATCTCTTGCTTATTCTAAAAACTGGTCAGTAGTACATTGTGTTTCTGTTTATGAAGTTAAACAAATCTCTGCTATTCTTTAGGGCCTTAAGTATCACTCAGTTGCTTGCAGCCGTGACCTTGAATAGTGAGCTTGCCCATGTTCATCTTGTGGTGCTGGCCATCACTTGCTAAAAAAAACCTTTTGTCCATCACCTGTTAGGTTTTTTATCTTATGGCTAGTTGACTTTGGTTTGGTGGAGTGGCCATACTTAATATTTGGATGTTGGCCTACAGGTTGGATACTTTATTATATGGGCTACTTAAATTGAACAAGGACTAGTTCCAATGGTTTTTCAGTGGGCTACATAGATGTGGCACTGGATCATTGAGCTGACCTACACTTTCATTGAGAGTTTAAAAACACTTGAGCGGTAACTTCTGCTATTAATTATTGGGCCTTGGCATGAGTTTAGAGACTTGTCTGGGCAAAGTATAAAAATATGTCCATTGTCTCATTCCTTTTGGATTTTTTTGTGCTTTTTAAAATTTCTTCCACTATGATGAATTATGTGGCTGATTTAAGTGAAAAAGCTGCATGTGTGGAGAACTTAACAGAATATTAGTGGATTCTACCATTCTACCTTGCCCTCCCTATGATTTTTCCTGCTTTCTTTTCATTTTCCCCTCGTGGCTCCTACTATATATTTGGGTAAAAGTTAAAACGTGGAGGAAGTCTTAAAACTCGAATAAATCAAGAGCGGCTAAGCATATTTGTTGTGCCTATGCAATTGAAACCAACTCATGAATCCATTCATGTCAATAACTATTTCTTCTTTGGTGTAATTCAGCCCATTTTATCTGCTTTATTCATTCTGTATCTTGCAGTATGTGGTACAGGACTAGTACAATTCTTTTCGTGATTGTTGAGAAGTCCATGGACAATTCTCTTTTGTTGTGATTGGTCGAGTCAATAGTAAGTTAATCATCTTTAAGTATCTGGTTATGGAAGAAAGATGAGTAGAAAATGGTGGTCAAATGGAAGAATGATATGCACAAGTTACTCTAACTGACACGGGCATGAATTAAATCTGTATTCCTGAAGTGAATTGGCTCTGGAAGCACCCAGCTGATTGAATTATCTATGCAAATCTTTGAAAGAAATTTAAGCTCCATTTATGTAAAAAACAATAATTTGTGCGGTAACTCAGCAATGCTGATTTAGAAATAGCATCATGCATATGCTTTAATTCTAGTATATCAAATGGTGTTTTCATCCATATATAAGGTTTGCTTCCTTTTGCTCATTGCAGTCGCTGCTGTGTGATCCAAACCCAAACTCACCGGCCAATTCTGAAGCAGCACGGTTGTTTAGTGAGAACAAGCGGGATTACAACCGGAAAGTGCGTGAGATTGTTGAGCAGAGCTGGACAGCAGATTAATCCTCTCTTCATTGGGATGTTGTGCTACAGGAGGTTTTCAACTGTTCTGCTGGAGCTGGAATGCTAGATCAATACATAACTCTTCCTCCTGGTAGGGTGTGTATCCCTGGAATGCCCTGTTTATTTTGCTACATCTATAGCAAATGTAGTAGCAAAATTGTTCTTTCAATCACATTATATGTTCACTTGTAGGGACTTAAAGCTCTCAATCTTGATGTGTTTTGTTGTGTTGCTGCATATTGGAATTCATGTAAACAATGACATACTGTATCATATTTTCATGGAATTGCATGAAACCCTTTAATTATGTGAAAGTATGCTTTCAAGGCAGGCTGCAAGCCTAGCTTTTTTAGGAATATTTCCTACCGACTCGCCAAATTAGAGACTGGGAGGTATATTAGTATTGGAGATAGAAGTTAGAATAGTCGAAGAGAGATAATTCTTGGAAAAATCGTGTTTGCATTAAAACTGAAACCTGTGACTTGAGAAATGATGCCTTATTTGATTGCCTTAAAAGTCCTTGACTGTATATCCTTCCCTGGATAATCTAAGGCTTTTTTTTTTTTTTTTTTTCTCTCTCTTGACTAACGAAAGTATAATATTCCCTCAACTTATTAATTTGACTTACGTTGTGATTCAACCATTAGCTGGAGGATTTTGTTAGCTGGCTGCTGTTGTTGCTAGACTGGCAGTTACATGTGAGAAGGAATCTTCTAGTTTTGTGTGCTTAGTAGTTTATATTTTGGTTGGTAAACTATTGCTTTTTATCGTTGGAAACTTGGTTTCAGTCTGAAGAACCCATATAAGAATAACAAATGGTTCAATTTTATACGTATATTTACACTGGGGGCGGGGGTTAACGAATAGAGACCTCATCTGCCGCTGCTGGTGGTTCGTAGGGTCCTGTAATCGGTGTTATTTTCTGACCTCTCTTGGCTTGCTCGTGGAGCCCCTCAAAATTACAAAACAGCTGGTCTTTGCTACACCCATCACCAGGAAGAAGAGGATAGCATATGGGCATTTGTCTCTTTTTTATAATCCCCAACCACCAACTAAAAGTACACTGCAAGACATGAACCCTCAATTTCTTGACGTGTTTTGACTTCTGAAATTACGGTGAAATTAAATATATGCAGTAAACTGTTGAGTTTACGACTCAATTTTATTACTAGATTAGGGGTGACCACAGAATTTTCACACCCTTCCCTCAATGTCCTCCTCGTTCCTCTTATATTTTTCTCTTGACATTCGAAATGTTAGATTGAAAATCATGAAAAAACAAGGTGACAGAAGAATTATGAAAAGTTAAGGTGGTAAAATTATTTGTTTTCATTTCAAATAAGTTGTTGATTTTAAAAAATAATTGGTAGCTAATTGATGAGGTGGAGGGAGGTAGGGGGTAGTTACGCAGGACATGTGTTACAATAAATTATATTAAAGAGTAATATTATTTATACTTACAAAGTTGACATAATATTGATGATGCATAAAATAGTTTTGTACACCACCTGTCAAGTGTGAATAATAAATACAAGAAAATAATATCAGGAGATGGAGAGACACAAATAATTTATTGTGGTTCGGTCAGCTTGACCTACGTCCACTTTTCAATGACTTTGGTTGTTGGATATTTTATTAACTCAAGGGTGTGAGGAGCAGAGAGTACAAGCTTTGAGGAAGAGGAGAGAGTCTTGCTCAAGTAAAGTATGATATGCCCCCCAAGTGTTGGTGGAGTTTACAATTTATAGTCGCTCTCCTAACAAATTTGGGCAAGATATTAGTAAGTAGTTTGTTAGTTTGTTAGATCTGGCGAGCTCTTCTCAACGTACTAGACAGTTGCGATGTTCTCCATGAGACTCTGTCAAAGGATGAGGTGGGGTGTTGATCATCTCCAGGGCAGTAAGGATAGGGTTTTGGATGACCTTGCTTGCTCCCTTAGCTCCTTGAGTTGCTGAGCTTGACCGGATTGACCACACTGATGAGCTTGAACGGGTTGAGCTGATGAGCTTGATTGAGTTGGCCACACTGGACTGGATTTGTTGAATCTCTTGGAATCGGACTATAAACTTGAACTGGATTTATAACATGAGTTAGGCTTGTGGGTTTACCCTATCAAATATTATGACTTGATAAATCAAAACTATTGAATAGATGATGGGTCCCTAATAAATGTTAGAACCCGCAACTAAATTAATAGTAGTGATTGACCAAGTTAATTTTCAAGTTTGTGTTGTATTATTCTTGATTAAAATCTAATTAAACAATTATTTTTAAAAAAAAATGGAAGGAAAAGCTTTTTAAATCATCTCTCAACTACAATATCAATAGTTGTTGCTAAAAAAGTTTGAAGCGATTTTAAAATGGTGCGGGTAGTATTTTAGAATTAATTCAAGCCCATACAAGTTAAGTTTGTGTATATGAGAACTAATTTGAGTGATTTGCTACCAAGCTCGGGAAGAGATGAAGCTATTTACAAAAAACAGAAGTAATAAAAACAAAAGAAACGTATCTCATTCTGCCTAATCTTATAACACTTTATCCTCTATTGGAATAATTCACATTGCGACAAATATCAACTTTTTTAATAAATCCAAAAGCTTACAGTTTTTAGGTAATTTTTTTTTAGTTTTAGTTTATACAATAATTTTTTTTTTAAAAAAATACAAAACTTTAGATGATGTCGAGCCAATAATACGTCGCTGGGATGGGTTAAGAATTAGGTTATTATTATTATTTTTTAATTTATTTTGGGTAAATGATACTTTATAATTTTTTAAAATTTTAAATTCTTAATTTACTATCTGGATAATTAAAATTCTTATATTATGCCCCTTCAATTAAAAAATTATAATAATATTGTCCATTTTAATAAAATTATGTATAATATTTTTACATAAAGTACTTAAAATTAAGTAATATATAAGGATTTATGTGCACAAAAGGAGAATTATATATTTTGTTTTTGAATTACAACGCAATTTTTTTTTTTATGATTGACCCAAGGATATAACGTACAAATTTAAATCTTTTAGGGCATATATTTGAATTTTAAAAAACTTTTCAGATCCAAAGTGTCTTTTTTTTTTCGTTTTATTGATTTTGGCGGCGCAGGTGATTAAACGCCACATGGTATGCAAAATGGGGGCGTTTGTTACAGGTGTCCCTTAAATTTCTATTTCTGAATAAAATAAAGGGAAAATCATATTTTTATCCTAAAAGATTTAATAATTTTTATTTTATACTCTTAAAAATTAAAATTTTCATATTGCATTTATTAAAAGTATTGGAATATAACCGTTAAATTTCTTTATTTTTTTCATCGGTGTCAATAGAGAGTTTTTTTTCTGAAAAAAATAATAAAAACTTGTAGAAAGACTACATTACAACACTTCTAATATATTAAATATATAATATTTTTTAATTTTTATTTTTAAAGATATAAAGTGAGAATCTTTTAAATCTTTCGGGGTATAAATATAATTTGTCTTAAAATAAACTAAAACTCTTGCAATAATTCTAAAGCGACTGTATGTATAGCTTAACTACATGGGGGAGAGAGAGAGAGAGTGAGTGAGTGAGAGAGAGAAAATAGGGAGAGAAAGCAGTGAGGCAAGCGGTGGAGGGGTCCAAGACGCATTAAGTGCGAGAAGGTAATTCCTGGTGTGATGGTATGTATGGCTTTTGTTTTCACTTCCATTCCAATCCAACTTTCACCTCAAAACGTATCATCTCTTATTTTTTCCCCTCTTTTCACTCTTAACATTTTCTTCACTCAATTAGCTTTTTCTGCTTGCTTCTTGCCTCTTCTTCGATTTGGGTCTTTAGGAATGGTAGTGCTGGGGTGTTGAACCTTTTTTTTCTCAGGTATATATCAGATCTGCACCCCATTGCATCAAACCTAGCATGTATATAGCTTTATAGTCCTTTGAGGACATATGCTTGTGTAGATCTTGCTGGATTCTATAATTTTGCTTGTTTATCTCATGAATATTTGTTCGACTCGGTGGGTTTGATTTTAGTAATTTTTATTCATGACAATGGTGTTTTATTTTTGAATTTCACTGATTTTCGTTTGAAGAAATTATGGTAAATTCTTTTAAAATTTTTTTTTTTTAATTCTTGAGATCATCTGTTATTTTTACTGCAAATGATAGTACCTGGGGATTTTTTTTTTCCTCCCCAGAATATACTTCTGGTATGTGGGTTGAATAGTACTGGAGTATGCTTAATGTTGAAAATTCCCATTTGATGATACTACTTTATACCCACTATGTGAGGTTGAGTAAAGATGGTGTCTCAGTGGTGTAACGAGATTCATGTGACCAACCTAATTATTTGAATAAGGCCTTGTTGAGTTGAATTGACTTTATGCCAACTGTGATAGTGAGTAAAGATTGTTGGTGTGTCAGTGTTGTGTGCCTGATCTGATTGTAGCAAGAAGAATGCTTGAATTTGAGTCCTTTTCTTCTTGATGACAGATTGAACAGATAATGAACTATTTTGCTAGATGTTGTTTTGATTTGATGGTAAAAATATTGTAGAAGGAAATTGAAGTCGAGATTTCATGACTGCAGCTGCATATCTGCAGGCTGTGTTGTTTGATTTGATAAGAAAATTTTCACTCTGAATTTATGTATTCTGAGATTTTAATTTTTCGAACAATGCAGGGTTGCAAAACCAGGTTCCATTGTTTCTGACAGTGTCCTGTCAAGCCATGGGGAAATCTCCGGGAAAATGGATCAAAACTGTGCTTTTTGGGAAGAAATCATCAAAATCTGGTTTTCCAAAAGTAAGGTTTTGATACACATTGCTCTAGTCTAGTTTCCTCATGTTGTTCATGGTTGAAATATGTAATCTCCATGCCCATGCATGTTCTGCATGCTAGTGTACTATTGAAAACCATATTCTTACGGGAGAACTGCCAATAAGTCCTACCTTTTCACACAAAAACCATTAAGTCCTTTTTTAAATTTTCTGCTTATGATCTTTGCTCCATTTGTTTCCTTGATGAGTTTTGGTGTGCTATTTTGGACATTTCATCCTCGAGCTACTTGGTTAAATCAATCCTCATAAACTTTGTGAGCTTTTTTTGGTTTACAATCATTGCCCTTAACTTTGATCTTCTCTTCAAGAATAAGAAGTCTCTGTCCTTGTTCTCATTAGTCTAATTTCATCCTCATCCATCACTATTTAATGCGAACCCTATTTTGTCCAAAACTGATCCCCTGATGTCCTGGCTCAGACTTAGTACGGTTATAATATATCATTAATTCTTTGTCAGTTTATCGCATGCCTAAAATTTTGAATCACGTCAAATCTTTTTACTAGTTATGTACTTCCCCCTATGAATTTGGAAGATATTGTACTTTCAATTTTTTCCCTGGATATTTGTTTTGGTGACAAAGACGATACCTTCATTTTGAATCAAGATTCTTTGAGCAATATTACAATATTTTGACGTGTAGTTCCGATTTGAAAAGTTATCATCCTATGTGAAGGATCGTACAGTTGAGAAGAAGGCATCCATTGCTTCCAACGCAGCATCTGGAGATTTGGCTGTGGATTCTCCAGAGATCCCAGACCTGTTATGTCCCAATACTGATAGAAGTGGGGAAAACATTGAGTTTGAAAAGGGTACAACTGCCAACGTACCATGTGATGCAGCTGTGTTATTGCCTGGAAAGCAAGATGCTGATGCTGAAGTAATGAGACAAGAGCAAGCTGCTACAACAGCACAGGCGGCTTTTAGGGGCTACTTGGTAATATTCTATAGCATTGATACTGCAATCATGTTGAACAGTTTTGTATTCTTGAAATAGTGAGGCTGATTCTCGTTTTCTTATTGAAGTATTGAAGTACACTGTTGTAATTTGCATATACCATCTCTTAGTTTTGAGACAATCTTGGCTCGTCGCTCTCCATGTCTTATCAGCTTGCAACTACAATGTGCTTTGAATACTCTTTTTCTTCTTGAAGTACACTGTTTGTAATTTACATATACCAGCTCTTAGTTTTGAGACACTCTTGGCTCGTCGCTCACCATATCTTATCAGCTTGCAACTACAATGTGCTTTGAATACTCTTTATTCTTTTCGTTTTGGTCTAAAATCTCAGTTGATGTTGTTTGTATCGGTCAGTAGGTAATGGTATGGTTGACTCGATTGATGACTTTTTCTTCTGTACTGAGATGAGCTGGCTTAATGTGCGACTTGAAAATGACTTTCAAACTGTTCTGAAACATGTTTTCTCTTCCGATATTCCTTCGTTAGTTATTTTTTTTTCCCTCTCAGTTTGTATGGGTATAAATCCATTTTTTTAGCTGAAAACTTTGATAAGACGAAAAATATCATGATTGGGTTTGGAAATAAGACCCGGGGTTAAAATCTACATAAATAAATCTTGCATATTTATGTATCAACATGCACTCACTTTATATAGTTATATACGACAAGGTTACTCATTTTCGTTCAAGTTGTTTCCTTTCTTTGTAGGATTTGTTATGTGTCTGAGTATGTGCTATAGGAGTTGTATCTGTAATTTTCTTTTACCAAATTAAACAATATATAAAAAAGAAGTAAGAATTCAGTAGTCACTATATGCATGTGAGTGTGTGTAAAGAAGTGCCGTGCCATATGCTGTACACACGTTATCTTGTGTTTTAACTGGCTAGAACATAGTAGAAAACCAAAAGTTTAGTCACAACTTGGTTATCCAGTAGCTATTAGGAACCGGGGATTATTAAGAAAAAATTCTGTTTGTATTGCTGAAATATGCATAAATCCACACAAATTAGCACAACCATTGGTGTATTGCATGCTTATACGTTTGTTTTTGTGGGAGGATGGTCATGAGGGCTTTACTGCATTGCATCTGTGTATATAGTTGCCATTTATCAGGTGTAGGTCACTTTCGTTTCGTTACTGACATATATTCTAGTATATACTGAGATTGCAAACGCTGTTTCCTCATATATAGCATACGTCTTTCTTCTTTGCTGAATTATTTCTTTGTGTGTCAATTTTTCTTTTTCTTAATCCATTTTTCTCGCTACGATATTGGTTTTAAATGAAAATACCTGTACCTGAAGGCTCGCCGGGCATTTTGGGCCCTCAAGGGCATCATAAGGCTGCAAGCACTTGTTCGTGGGCACTTGGTTAGGAGACAGGCTGTTGCTACTTTTCGGTGCATGCAGGCGATTGTTAAACTGCAGGCAGTGGTTCGTGGCCGAAGGGTTAGACTGTCTGACATTGGATGTGAGGTGCTTAAAAAGTACAGTCTGGGGGAACCTCAGGTGACTCAAGGGATATCCTTAATTAGCTGCATCTCTAACTTGCTCTTCAAATTTTTAAATAATTGGTGTAAAAAAATTACAATTTCTGTATCTCATCAGTTTTTCATATCTTTTCTGTTGTACTTTCATATCATAGTTTGAAGAGCAGAACATATGCAGATTGCTATCATTGTCATTATGTAATTCTTATAGTTTCATGTATTTTCTTAGCTTATTGGTAGAAGACAAATCAATATGAATTTTCATCATTTTCATTATTCAGTTTGTTTTGGCTGCCACACGGTATATAGCATTGGCTATTGTTATCAATTGATAACGAGTGGAGTGACCCCTCAATTATATAAATCAACCTTGGGTGGTCTTAATCATTTGATGTGGGATACAAGTTCTTATTACACCCTCCCACGTGTGAGACCCGGGCTCGCACGGGGGCGCATAACTAAACAAACAACCATGCATAATGGAAAAATTCAAATGGGTGAGAAACTTGGTCAACTGAGCACCCAATGGCCAGTTCTGATACTATGTTAGAACTTCTAACTCAAAACCAATTGGTAATGAGTGGAGTGACCCCTCAGTATATTAAACCAACCTTGAGCAGTCATAATCATTCGATGTGGGATATAAGAGCTCTTTACAGCTACCATATTGTGGATTGTTGTCAATCTTCTCACGTGCTGTTCTTACCTTTGTCTTTCAAATTAGTGTCTTTAACTTGCACTGTAATACCCCACACTGTCTCCGACTTCTCTTCTTTGTTCTTACTCTCAATTGGTTCCATCTCAAACTTCTATGACATGTATTCAATTTAAGCCCAATCATCATAAACCATTGATCACTATTAAGTCTTACTATTATCTCTGCATGATTTGCATTTATTGTACTCTCAAAATTTCTGATTATGAGAACGAGATGTCTAAGTGTTGCTTCATCTATTGGCTTTTATTTTGCCATTTTCTCCTGATATACGAGCTTCTCTTCTGGTTGGGTTCATCGTGTTTTTGTACACTGCTAAGGTTGGTTTAATTTCATCCAAGTAATCTGCTCTACATTTTTTTATACTTAATCAGGTTACTAAACAGGTGGACTTGTTTGGAGTAAGCACATCTTTTAGATCAGAGAAGCTGTTGACAAATGCATATGTTACTAAGGTATATGCAACTTTTTTAGTCGTGCCAAATCTAGTGAATACTTTTTATACTTCGGCAGTGACCATGTATAAACTTACTTCCCATCATAGATACCAAGTATATTGCATACTGAGAAGATTTATGGGTCTTCATTTCTGTTATAATTGTATTTCTTTTTTGATGCTGCTCCTTTTTCCATTCTGGCCTGCCTATCTACAGAAGGGTGTTTGGAAATTCAATATATACCTTGGGAACCACATTCACTTGATTTTATAAAGTTGGCATGTTTTATCCTTGTAGAAGCCTCCATCTACATACAGGTGGATAATAGTTGACAGCTGTCATACAATCAATCTCTCGAGGGATGCGAATGCCGAGACAGGAGGTTGGGAGAGGTTATATTTGCGGCATGAGTTTTGTTTGAAATATGCCATTATGACGTTAGGGATCTACCTGTATGTGGCCTGCTTGTTATTTTAAATTTGAAAAGTTCCTAAGTTCTTATAAATAAAACAAGTGTTACTTATTCTGGAGGCCCGTGTGCCGAAATGAAACAGACAGCTCATCATTACTGAAAAGCCTGCACGAACCTTTGAATTGTCTGATTGAATATTATACATACATATTGATAAAAAGATTATACGTGCTAAACTTTTTGAATTTTCTCGTAGTTCTATCTCATGACCATAAGAATTGGGAGTTGATTGCATTCTTTGTTACTTGTTTAGCTTCTTACTTCATCACCTACTGCTATGCCCCTGAGCCTCCAGTATGAACCGCTCCAGCCGAATTCAGTCTCGAACTGGCTTGAACGCTGGTCATCATCTCGCTTTTGGGAACCACTTGCACGGCCAAAGAAGATTGTTGATGCGAAGCCTCGAAGAAAGCATGCTAACATGCAGGTTGTTGACACAGAAGCAGGACGACCAAAAAGAGGTGTGAAGAAGCTTTCAACAACAAATGGTGTCGATAGGTCAGTGAATTCCTCAGAATTTGAAAAAGCCAAACGCAACCCAAGGAAAGTCTCAAGTAATCAAGCAGAATTGGTGCAAGAACCACCTCAAAACGAACTTGAGAGAGTCAAACGCAATCTGAAAAAAGTTTCCGCCTCCGCAGCGGTGGCTGCCGATGAATCAGAAGCCATAACTGAGAAGCCAGGGCTGAATTTGAAAAAAGTGTCAAGTTCCGCCATCGCTGATGTTCCTGATCAGCGGATTGATAATTCTTCTGAAAAAATGAGCGATCCACCTGGCAGAGTGTACCAACAGGATGTGACAGAAACACCTCCAAAGCCATTGGTTGTGGATGAATCACTTGATGTGCAAGATGATAATCCTCCTGATGAGGAGATGCGTTCTTTAGAAAACAGTGCTAAGGTTGGAAACAGTCCCACAGAGAATGAGTTGAGCTTTAAGGAAGATGAAACTAGCAAGGAAAACCAGAGAACCAGGAGGAGGAAATCTTTACCAGCAAAGCAGGAATATCCTGAAAATGTCTCCCAGAACACACCAACCTTGCCAAGTTATATGGCAGTCACTGAGTCTGCAAAGGCAAAGCTTAAAGCACAAGGATCCCTGAGGTCCAGTGAAGATGGGGCTGAAAGTGGTTTTGTCAGGCGTAATTCCTTGCCATCTTCCACGAATGGCAAAATAAGCTCACTGTCTCCTCGGATTCAAAAGCTGGTACAAGCGAATGGCAAAGTGGGAAGTAGAAGTGACAGATCACTATTGTCCTCCCGAGATGGTAAGGATTAGAAATTTGATTGGCCTTTGCAATTTATTCTTGCTAATTCCGTCTTGCAATTTGTCAATGTGGTCTCATTAGCGACACATCATATCTGGGTTGGATTTTTTAATTTTATGATAAATAATATCAATATATCTCAATTGCATGCTTGTCTTGTTCCTTCTGACTGTTTAATTAAATTTAGGATTAATTATACTAGAGGTCTTCAAAGTATGAAGTTTGTTTCATTTTGGTCCCCAATGTTTCAATTGTATCATTTTGGTCCCTAAAATATTGAATATGGTCCCTAAAACAGACAATGTCTAGATTTCTAACGATTTTTTATCATAAATTTGTCATTTGATACTTAAATATGGACAAAAAAATAATTTGGATAACTCGACNCCCCAATGTTTCAATTGTATCATTTTGGTCCCTAAAATATTGAATATGGTCCCTAAAGCAGACAATGTCTAGATTTCTAACGATTTTTTTATCATAAATTTGTCATTTGATACTTAAATATGGACAAAAAAATAATTTGGATAACTCGACCAAATTTTTACTCAAATTTTGGTTAAATAGCTACCTAAATTACACAGTTTTGATCATAAAGTATTCAAATTTTGGTCAAAAATTACTTATATTACACATTTTTTTGTTAAAAACTATTCAAATTTTGTTTAAGAGTTATCAAAATTATTTTTTTTACATATTTAGGTATTACGTGACAAGTTTATGATAAAAAATTATTAACAATCTGGACGTTGTCTGTTTGAAGGACCATATAAAAACATATTCAATACTTCAGAGACTAAAATGATGCAATTGAAACATTAGAGACTAAAATGAGACAAATCCCATACTTTGGGGACCTCTAGTGCAATTAGCCCTTAAATTTATGAAGAAAATGTTTTTGGGGATAANGAAGGACCATATAAAAACATATTCAATACTTCAGGGACTAAAATGATGCAATTGAAACATTAGAGACTAAAATGAGACAAATCCCATACTTTGGGGGACCTCTAGTGCAATTAGCCCTTAAATTTATGAAGAAAATGTTTTTGGGGATAGTCTAAAAAGGTATGTTAGCATATGGCTGGATTGTCTTGTATGCTTCTTTCGCTCCTATTGTCCATTTTTTTCTACCTGATGATAGACAATAAGTTCCTCTGAAGTTTTAAGTGCATATTTATGCCTCCAGATAGTAAAAGAATCACCAAAATGATAAAACAATAAAATCCATGTGCACTTTGTTTACTATTGGGAATTGCTATCAATGGTTTTTTGCCGGGAGTTTCTGTTTCATTGCAATCATCTGTAACATATTGGTTTTGATAAATGTGAATTACAGTGTAATTTTTAAAGTTCTTTTCTATGTGGATGATCTATGTTTCAGAGAAGGTGCTCCAGCCTGGGTGGAGGAGATGAGTGCAGCATCAATCTGCTTTCAAAAGACACTGGTGGTCAGATATGACTGGTTGGTTGCAGTTTCTTCAATTTGTTCTCATTGTGCAAAATTCTGTTGTAGAATACGAAACAGAACTTGATAAACAACAGTTGTTTGATGTATTTTGTCTTTCCCATGTCTTGCTTTGCAATTTGGGTATTGTGTGGGATGTATAGTCATAGACCAATTTCGTTTGTTTTATTTAAGAAGATTCTTGTGCTTTATTATTATTTCTGTTTTGCAATTGGCATTGTGAGATGACCATGCTTGGATTACAGTATCTCATTAAAACTAGTCTCTTCTTGTTTTATCCTTCCAAAATTCAGTTTCTCAGGTGGTGTGTGACACGCATATCCTCCGTGTCCCACGTGTATTTGTGTCCAACCGTGTCTCACGTGTATCCGTGTCCGACACCGTAGGTGGTGTGTCTCACATTCAGACAGATTAGTACAAGTCTCTCTCTGTCTCTCTCATACACTTTTTCATTCTTTAGTGTGTCTTCAATTGCTTATCCACAATAGAATGCCAATACCTAGTCATAGCAGTGCCTCCAGTCTCATGTTTTGGCTTTCATTGCATAATGGTTTTGTTTGAAGGTTGAAGAGTAGTGTTATGGGTCCTTGCACCAAATTATGTGGCAACATCACATTCATTGGACGCGTAATAAGTGTTGATGGGTCTCATAACTCGCATAATTTGGTATACAAATTTGGTGTACATAACATTATTATGTTCATGTGTGGCTGCCCCACAAGAACCTTCTAGTGAGGTCGTTAGTCACTTGAACGATGGAGTTTGTATTTGACTGATTTCAAAATTTTGATTCGAACCCGATACGAATATTTCATAGGTTTTATTTTCATGGTTTAAAGAACAAAAATCCCATCCCAAAAACTGATAGAAATATGATTTACTGGGTTCGAATTCAAATGATTTATTAAAAATATCAATCCAATTCTTATTAGTCAAATTTTAATTAAGAATGGATTCTAATTAAAATCCAATCTATGTATAGGCATACCTCATAGAGCTCAGCCCCACATCAGCATGCCTAATTAGTTACTTCTGTCCCCACAAAGCATTTGAAGAACCCATGTAATGGAACTGATGAATTAATCAGCTGACAGCATACCCAAAAATTGATCACCGGAATGATAGAACATCTGATATTTACTGGAGCAATTAAGAAAAAATGAAAATTGCGTTTCGAAATAGTCAAAACAGCAACAACCGTTTTTATTTTTAAGGAGATCGAGATAAATCAATGATGAAATAAAAATTTCAATACTTTGAGGTGCTTTATAATGTTTCAAAGTATTTTAATATATTTTGGCTAGTTTACGCTATTGTTTCATAACTTTTGAGGTGCTTCAAAATGTCTTGGTGTATTTTGACCAATATTCTATAATATTTTAAAGTAAATTTTCATATTTATTATTCATTTTTGTTGTGTTTTTGAAACATTTCAATTTTTTAGGTGATGAAAATAATGCACTTGCACCCGTGATTTTCTGCAATGAGTTGAGGTAGCTATCCCCAAGGTGAATTCAGTCCCAAATCCTAAAATAAGGAATAATGTCATAAAGGGACCTGAAGTACACTCAACTTATCCCCTCTAATACTTAAGTTAGTCGGTATTAGAGTTAGAAAAAATAAGTGTACACTACAGAGCTTAGTTCCATTTCAATGGGATATTTATACTTTTGATCGTGACGGCGTGGCATCTTTTCAAGTGAATCTCCCCACCTCGTTAATGTCATAATTTATTTTTCAAATCAGCAAATTTCTCACAGTAATAACTTTAATACAATCGTCTTTCCGCTCGGTAACTCAAATAAAATGTAAATAAAATAAAATCACAATAATTATATCGGATAAAGACAAATGACACAAAAAAATCAATCGATTAGCTCCGATACACACCCCAAAAATAGTCTACTAGGAATCTTGGCAACATGTTGGCTGTCTGCATTTACCAAGTCAAAAACTGTTGTCTGAGACCCAAAACATCAAAGAGATAAGTGAAAAATTCCCTGTACTCTCCGGCCCAAAAATACCCAATTCATCTCCACCTTCCCTGGTTAATCTCTCTCCTCAATCTTTTCTAAAATTATAGGATTCAAAGCTTATCCAATATATATATATATATACAGCTTTCGATGTATAATATAAGTATACGTACATCTGTGTATTTATCTGTATATATATAGAGATATAGCCCACCATAAGCCTCAAACCCATTCAGACATTTTTTGAGAACTAAAAGAATACAGCTCAAAAGCTTTTGTTCTTGAACCATGAAGATGTCAAATCTCTCTGTCTTGTTCTGTTTCATCATTGTTGTTTTTGGGGTGGCTATCAATGGCTTAGCTTCAAAAGAAGAGGTTGGGATCTATGAGCTGCAGAAAGATGAATTCACTGTCAAGTTTACAAACTGGGGTGCAAGCATTATCTCCCTTATTCTTCCTGACAAAGAAGGTTTGTCTACAATTGCTCATATATCATTCTCACAGATTTTCATTCTGTCATGGTTTTCTAAATAGCTTTTGTTTGTTTGTTTTTTTTGTTTTTTTGTTTTTCAGGAGAGTTGGGTGATGTTGTTCTTGGGTATGATTCAGTTAAGACCTACATGGTGAGATTCCTCTGTTTATACAACATTTTCTTGTTTATTTGTTGAAAGCAATGACTCTCTCTCTCTCTCTCTCTCTCTCTCTCTC